GTGAGTTTCATGGCCAAGCTGGAAATCAAACCCTGGTCTCCAGAGTCATCATCCAACCCTCAAACTATTATGCTATGCTGGCTTTGATGATGAAAATTAAATTACTTCCAAGTGAAAGAGATGCAATTGTTCTGCCATTTTATGTTCTGGTTTATGTGTGTGTGCCTTCAAGTTGTTTCCAACTTATCACAACCATAAAGTGAACCTACCATGAGGTTTTCTTGTCAAGATTTCTTCAGAGGGGTGTGCCTTTACCTTCATCTGGGGGAGGGAACTATATTTGTGGTATTGTATTGTATTTTATTGTTGTTAGCCGCCCCGATTGATCTCAAAGGGACAGGATATAAATAAAATTTATTATTATTATTATTATTCATCTGAGGCTGAGAGAGTGAGTTGCTCAAGATTACCCAGTGGATGTCCACAGCTTAGTGGGGATTCAAACCCTGCTTTTCAGAGTCATAGTCCAATGTTCAAACCACTATATCATGCTGGCTCCGTACATGGCAGTAAAATAGTTCCTTTTAGTTTAGTGCCTAGTCTTCACACAGGGTTGGAGGAGTGGATGTCAAAAGCTCAGGAAACGGATATTATATGTTTGTGTGTATTTAATTTTATAATAACTCTCAAATTACTTACTAGTATAAAAATAACAGTAACCGAATGAAAGGGAAGGGTGGAAAGGGGAAAGAAAGAAAATGGTACTTGCTGCTGTACAGTTAAAGAAAATATATACTGAGATCCAGTTCAGTTCTTTGTGCTGTTTTAGTTGTGCACCTTCAAGTTATTTCAAATGTATGGCAATTCTAAGGCAAACTTATTATCACAGGGTTTTCTTGGTCGGATTTGCCCAGAACTCATTTGCTATTATATTCCTTTGAGGCTGAGAGAGTGTGAGTTGCCCAAGGTCACCTGGTGAATTTCCATGTGTGAGAAGGGATTCAAACCCTGTTCTCTCCAAATTTTAATCCAACACTCAGACCACTACATTACACTGGCCCTCTTTCAAATTTTGTTGCTGATATATAGTCTTAATTTATGGCAACTCTCTTTTAAATTTTGTTGTTCTGATGTAGTATGATTTGTGGCAACTCCATCATGGGATTTTCCTGGCAATATTTTTTCAGAGGAGGTCTTCCATTGTCTCCTTATGTGGCTGAGAGAGTGAGACTTGCCCAAGCTCACCCAATGGGTTTCCATAGCTGAGCAGGGATTCAAACCCTGGTCTTCTGGAGTCCTTGTCCAACATTTAGACCTCTACATCATATTGGCTCAGTGCTAATTTCAGTGGAACAAAAAGCCTGACAGTGTCTTTACATGGATGTGCTTAAAAATGTACAAATGCTCATGCAATTGGGAATTGATGAATGTTGTACCAGCTTCATTCTGGCAAACATAGACAAGATTATACATAGGATATCATCATACCATCGGGGAAATCACATACAAAAATTATTCTCTGTGTAAGATTAATAAAATTCAGGGAGTCTGGGCACAAATTTTAGTCAAAGTTCTTTCTATAGGTACTGAACAAATCTTTAGAAATATGCCCATATGTTGATGCTTTTGATAAGAGGTGATTTCAAGTATCAAAAAAATCTGTCAGGTCCTCTGTCTTTTGGTGGATATATAGTAGGTGTCTTATTTTGTTATATTCCTATATGATGAGATTTGGAGAGTCAGCATGGTGTAGTGGTTTGAACACTGGACTATGACTCTGGAGTTCAAGGTTCAAATCCTATGGTCTTTACAATTCAATTGCCTTCTAGCCATCAAGAGGCCCCCAAATGATCCATTCTGGTGATCATTTGACAAAACTCACCACTGTTTTGTTGTGTGCCTTCAAGTCATTTCTAACTTATGGCAATCCTAAGGTGAGTTTTTCATGGGTTTTTCTTGGCAGGATTTATTCAAAGTTGGGTTCCCTTTGCCTTCCTCTGAGGCTGAGAGAGTGTGACTCACTCAAGGTGACCCAATGAGCTATGACTTGAACCCTGATCTATAGAGTCATGCTCCAGTGCTCAAACCACTACACCACACTGACTCTCCAAACTCATCATACAGGAACATAACAAAATAAGACATGTAAGTAATTAAATAAATTAATGAAAAGTATGCAATAGTAGGGTAACCCCTCATCATATCTTTCAGGAAGCCCTCATCAATTTTGCCTTGCCCACAGAGTTAGCAAGATTTTTAAAAATATTGCCTGAGGAGTATTCAGCAGATCTTAAACTTCCTCTCTATTGGCTCAGTCTTCTTAAGAAAATGGGATGTTGGTAAAGCAGTGCTTATAGGTACCCACAAAACAGCTGCCTCCCTCATCCACCATTCACAAGCACTTCCTTCATACTGCATCCATCTAACCATTGCCTTTATACCCAGCTCACATTGCTATGGGTGCCAGAACTATCCACCCACCTCCTTTCACCTCCATAGAGTAGGAAGAGTAGGTAGGTGGGAAGAGAAGAGTCCAGGTATCGGAGAAAGATTGGTGCCTGTAATCCTATAGTTCTTGAGAACCGTCAGAACCGTCAGCTTCTCCACTTTATTCTTAGCCCTCCTCCCATTATCTTTGATCCTCCCACATACAGCTCTTCTAAGAGTTTTTTTTTTCCTGAAGGAATGCTTAATCTAAGGTCTACCTTGAAAACAGATGGCAAAACCAAAATATCTTCCTTCTGTGCTTCCTGTCAGCTACTTTTCATTGGGGCCTTGATGGGGAGTACTACAGAGCCACTGCTGATGGACCACAGCTATAGTTTGGCCAAACATGTTCTGTGTCTTCAACCTCATCCCAATGTGAACAGCACGGCATAGTGGTTTTAGCATTAGACTATGACTCTGGAGACCAGGGTTCAAACCCTGCTCAGCCATGAAAACCCACTGGGTGACCTTTAGCAAGTAACGCTCTTTCAGCATCAGAGCGAAGCAAAGGCAACCCCCTGGACTAATCTTGCCAAGAAGACCCCATGATAGGGTTGCTTTAGGGTTGCCATGTCAGAAATGACTTGAAGGCACACAAGAGCAAACATAGCACTAAGATACTACTGTCTGAATAAGGCTTGCAATACCTTCATTGAAAAGTCTCCTACTTTTTCAACTGTTCCTTTTCCAGGTGTTCTGAAGCACCTCCCATTTAAGACAGTTATAAGAGGAAAATCATTATAGTCTCCATGTTAGTGCCTTTGAACTTCAGGGCAGTGGGATGGATAATGGAGATTTTTCATTGTTTCCAGCATAAGCATGGCACTGAAACATGATGCTGAGATGGTAATAGCCGCAGCTGTCAATTTATCTTTACAGGAAAAGGAATAGGAGATTGCAGTGGTGGTAACAACTTTAGATGAGTTAAGAGGAGAGGGGAAAAAAGAGATTATTGTACATATAATCCATGAGATCACATCCCCAGTTTCCTGTGAAAAATAAATTTTGCTCCAAAGATTTTTTTTTGGTGTATAGTTCTATATTCAAAATGCAGAAATAATAGTAAACACATTAATAGTAGTAGTAGTTAATTCATTTATACAGAGCCATCAATGTACAGATATGTGGGTTAAAGATTTATGTGTCTAAGTATTTTGTAAAGTACTCAGGCTTTTTCTGTCACTCTTTTCAAAAACTAGCCTCCAGGAGTGTCTTTGTAGTAATTGTTTCAGCATTTTCTGATAAAGTCTGGTTGCTGGTGTTTCTGTAGGATGAGATTCCAGGCACTATGGGTGAACTGTATAAATATCACTGTCTGGATTACGATAGTGCCTATGGTGAAAAACTGAAAGGAAATGGACTGAATTGAACTGAAAAATGAACTGAACTGAAAAATGAACTGAAACTAAAATGTCAAGTCTATGTTTTTTTTAATCTGTAGGAAATACAAAATGCAACGCTGTAACATACTGTAAAAGAATAATCTTGGGTAAATCAATTTTTTTAAAGAACTAAGAAGCTTTATCTGGAAAACAGAGAATACAATGCTGTCTTTCAAATAATGGAAGAAACAAACTGCAATCGTCCCTTCTGATTCATGGGGATCTGTTCCGGACCCCCTCGTGAACTGGAAAAATTGCAAATATAGGAGGCCCATTTATTTTAATGGGCATGCGCTTTTGCACGTAGCTCTGCATGTGCACTGTGGGTGCATGCACCATTTTGTTCCTCCCCACTTGCTGCCCATGAAGTAGCGAGACCAGGGACTCCAAGTCCGTGAATGTAGAGGGATGAGTGTACACTAATTGATTAACATCACTGGAAATAAAATGTTTTGACACATTCTAATGCTGAATTGCTTCTCCTGAGGATATGTCTGCAGAACATCTTATAAAATTATATAGAACAGATTTAGCATTAGAATAAGTGTCATAGGTGTTGTGGTTTTTTTTTAATTTTGTTTCGTTTTGTTTGGATAGGTATTCATTTCTTAGTAATATCTTCATCATGCTTTATACACCGCCACATTTTAATAGTGTTCTTAGTCTTAAACTATCTTGGAGGAGATGTAAAATGAGAACATTATGAATAATTTCCAGCAGATAGCCAGCAGAGCCAGTGACTCATCCAAGCTCTTCTCAGTGGGGCAAAGTGTCAAATTTCTCTGTGTAGAGACACAGAAAATTTAAACCTGTTTCTTACAATCAATTCCTTTCCTTGGTACTATATTTTAAGTAGGTGTGTGCAGGACTCCAGTTTCAAAAACATTTATCTTTAAAGGGTAGAACAAGCTGTTTGTCCCTGTCAGAAGGCCATACTGCTACTACAACTTCTTGTATTCTTTTTTTTTTAAGTGATGGATATTTGTTGTGATTATAGTGGGTTTCCCCATAGTCAAGGAACCATTGTGTGAAGAACAAAGTAGTGGCAAGTTTTTGAGGTAATTATTCTGTATAAAAATGCATGTTTTTTTTCTGCACAAAACTGACATTTTTTTAACACTGAAAACATTTTTTTAACACTGCACAGAAAACGTGTTTCTTGCACACACAAAATGTTTCCTGTGCAAGAGACAGCATGTTTTATGTAGAAAGCACTGTCTGCTTTATAAAATGTGCATTTTGTACAGATAAACCCTATGTATTGTTGCTCAAAATAATTTCCCCAGAGGCTTCTCAGAGTAATAATAATAATAATAATAATAATAATAATAATAATAATAATAATAATAATAATAATAATAATAATAAAGTTTTATTTCTAACCCGCCTCTCTGCTGCAGCAACTGGGGCGGCGTACAACAATTAAAACTGATACAGAGTAAAACATTCCATCAACCAATCCCTAACCCTCCCACCCCTTAAAACTAAATTGAACTAATGCATAGAACTATGAACACATAGAATACAACATAAAACCAACTCGGGCAACAGGCAATAGCAGTACAGGGGGCGGGGTGGGTAAGAATGACATGACCGTGCAGAGATCTTCATATTTTCGCAGAGCAAAGAAATTTGTTTGTTTGTTTGCTTAACATGCTGCCCTCCTCCCAAAGTGGACCCAAGGTGGCTCAAAGAAGAAAAGAAACTATTCATCCTTGCATATAATTATAAACAATGTGAAAATTTGCATCCCCATTCTGTAGTGTCCACAGTGTGCAAGTCACGATAACAAACAAAGACACTTCCAGAGGATTTACAGTCTACAATGCACTCTCAGGGGTACTTACTACTGCAGATATTGTATTCAATTCAATTAAAAAATAGTAGAACGCATGCTGGGGGGAAAGAAGGCAGGATCCAGAGATGTGGCTCTTAAATGCAGAAACATTTCCTAACAAGTAAACTAAAGCAGAAAGGAATTACACTAATGGACAGCATAGGTTGGAACAGGGAAAAAAATCATTACAAAGATGTGAATCCAGCAGATGGCATCAGTGTAAAGAAAAATAGATAGGCAATAGCAACATCTCTGTTTATATAACTCCTTATATGTGATGTCAGTTTTCTGAATGGAACAAAAATATGAACACATTATAGGAAACTATAATGATGGAGGCTAGTAGTTTCACTCATAATGAAAGAGAGAGCTGAATAAAAAGCTATATATTTTGAATGGCAAAGTGCTTGAACATGTGGTGGTTGTGTAACTTCTGACATTCTTGGAGGAAACAGATTATCTGTACCCATTTCATTCTGGTTTCAGCCTAAGGTATAGTACTGATACAGCTTTGGATGGTTGGTCTGATTGATGACCTACTCTGGGTAAAGACAGGGAGAGTGCTACCTTATTGATTTTCCTGGATCTCTCAGTGACTTTTGATACTATTGATCATGGCGTCCTACTGTTCAGCCCCATGGCCATTATGCTGGCACCCTGTTCAGCCCCATGGCCATTATGCTTCAGAGTGCCACAGGCCTCTATTTTGTCTCTCATGCTGTTCAATATCGATATGAAGCCACAGCATAGGGTGGGTGTATTATAAGGTTTGCTTCTCCTAGTTATTGGAATCTGTGGTTGTGAAGGTGCTAGAGCAGTGCGTGGATGCTGTAATGGAGTGGATGAAGGACTATAAACTGAAGGCTAATTCCAATAAGATGGAGGCTCTATGGTTTGGTAGTTCATGGATCAGGAATCAGGTAGGTTAGGTGCCCTAGGTGGTGTTTCATTCCTCTGGAAGGAGTTGGTGTGCAGCCTGGGAGTACTCCTAGACCCATCTTTGCCCCTGGTGACTCAGGTGGACTCTATGGCTTGGAGTGTTTGGGGCCACCTTTGACCAGTTTACCAGCTTTCAACACCAAGACAAAACTAAGCTCTTTATCAAA